CAAATAAGTAATTTTCCAAGAGAGAAAGGCCGCTATCTTAATCAAAATAACTAAATTTTCATGAAGTTACAAAATATAATCACAGTTGAATCACAAGAGGAATGGACAGAAGATGAACTAGTAGAATTCGAGGGAGTAGGAACAAGGCTTCTCAGTGAAATTCTCAGATGGCATAAGGATGCTGCAAGAAACCTTAGAATAGTATATACTGGGACCTCAAGAACGACAATGTGAAGGCAAAAAAAAAATAAATAAATGATGAAGAGAACACAAAAGGAATCAAAAAACTTGAAACATTTTTTCAACCGAGTTCATTAACAACTTCTCAACTAATTTGTCAAGAATCTTACACTTAGAATCCTTATCATTATGCCCCTCTCCAATTATTATACCAGATTCATCTTTGTGGTCGACTGAAAATTTACATATCCATTTGGAAGAACTTAACCAACGATGCTCAATAGGAAAATCTGTGAAGGAGAACAGTAAAATCTTTACATATGATCATTTACGTTTTCTTAGTATATGTCGATATATACAATTATTGTTAGAAGGACAAGGTAAAATGGATACTGCTGACCAAATTGCACGTTTCATATGGAATAAAGGGAGTTATATAGCTAAATGTGTTCGGATATGGGGAAATCATTACATAAAGACAGGAGAGCTTCTTCCTTACTGCCAAGGTAAACATACCAAACTCGAAAGCTTGATTGATGATGAGAAGTTTAGTGAAACTTGTAAAGAGTAGTTAAGGCAACAAAAACCGGAAGTACGTACGCCTAGTAATTTGAAAGCATATATTGAGGATATACTATTTCCAAAATTGATTGCCCATATCAAAAAAGACACTATATCAGAGAGGACATGTAGAAATTATATGTATTCGTGGGTTTTTAAATATGATGAGAGAAGAAAGGATATTTACTTTGATGGCCATGAGAGACCAGATGTGGTGGCATATAGGAATGAATGGGTAAAGTGAATGTTTGTGTATAAAAAAAACATGAAAGATTTTGTTGGTGAGTCATTAGAATTTGTATTAGAACCTCGGTTCAATTTAGGGGAGAAAGAATATGTTCAAATAACACATGATGAGTATTATTTCTATGCTAATGATGGGCGGTGACGAATTTGGATTCAGAAAGGTGAAAATATTTTGCACCCAAAACATCTGGGATGTTCTATAATAGTCTCTGCTTTTTTGTGTCCTTGACATGGACTACTACACCTATCTGACCAACAGCTGTATGAAAATCCATATATTAAAGATAAAGAAACATTTGTGATTCGTTCTGTTCAGGTAGATGGATATTGGAAGGCAGAGCATATGCTTGACCAGCTTGTGAATAAAGTAATTCCAGCATTTGAAATATTGCACCCCGGGTGTATTGGTGTGTTTTGCTTCGATCAATCTACTAACCATAATGCTATGGCAGAGAACGTACTAATCGCAAAAAGGATGAACTTGAGTTCTGGGGGAAAACAGCCGGTGATGCGAAATGGTTGGTTTATTGATGAAACCGGAAAAAAATATGTGCAACCGATGGTATTTCCGAATGATTATCATAAGGAGGAGTTAAGAGGCAAGCAAAAAAGTTTGAGCCAAGTGCTTGAAGAGCGAAAACTTTGGCCTGTAGGAAAGGTTCTGCTAGTATGCGAAAAATGTTCTGGAAAATGTACTGATAATGGCCCAGAAAGGTTGGATTGCTGCGCACAAAGAATCATGTCATTGCAGCCCGATTTTCTTGAACAACAGTCCCTGTTAGAAGAAGCTGTAATTAATGCAGTGCACATTTTTGAACGCTATCCAAAGTTTCATCATGAGTGTAACTTTATCGAATGATATTGGGGTTTTACGAAACAAGAAGCAAGAAGATTATGCAATTATAATTATAAGGATTTAGTAAATCTTGTTCCGGAAGTTCTTACGAGTGTTCCTGTAACCACTATTCGCAAATTTTCTCGTAAATCGTGGAGATATATGGATGTATATGATAAAGGGCTAAAAGGTGTAGCTGCTGAGTGGGCTGTTAATCAGTATAAATCACATCATCGAATTCTGGAGAATATTGAGCAAATGATGAAATGAATGAATAAAGGCATAATCATGATAATAATAAATTTTAACCTTTATTGTAAGTAATTACTATTACTATGTTTATAGTTTTATTGTTTAAATAGGTCAGTATAGGTTATTTGATTAGACTGTCAAATTTTTGGGATTTAAACAAATATTATAATGAAACCAATGTTTTATAATAGATATTCAAACTTGAAGCGCAAAATTTAATTGGACGAATCCAATATTTTTACAACAAATAACCGAACTGGAACCAGAAATGCAAGATTAACTGATGATCACACTTTTTTTGTGCGTAAGTTTAAATAGTTCAACCATGTATTCTTTGCAGAATTAATCTAACATTTTTGAATAATTTAAAAATAGTTGTATAGAAATCCACGATTTTATGATGATTTGCAGTAAAAATAAACCGTATATCATTGCTGCTTTTTTATGCAAATATTGTTAGGTATAAAATTAGAAGGGGTATACATATAATAAAATTTTGTATGAATTTTTTGTTAGAATTCAAAGGCAATTTTATAGGCAAACTTTTGAGTTACAGACAATTTAAAAATAATTATTCTATATTAACCTGATCTGTGATTTAACTGTTAAAAATTACGGAATTATAAATTTTTATGTAATATAGGGTCAAATTTGCGAAGCTTTAATTAAGTAAATATATATAATTAAAGCATATAATATGATTGGTTAAAATAAATCATGTGATCAAATCCTGCAATTTTATTGGCTAAATTCACGTTTATTAAACATTTCAATTTAGTCAAAGTATAATAAAATACTTTAATTTTAAATGTTTATAACTTTTTATATAAGGCTTATTTTAAAAAACTAACCAGTAATTTGATAGAGAATATTATAAAAAACAAAGTTACCAGTTTAGTTTTTTAAAATTTTATTTGTATAAAGTATTAATAGATTTTAAAACACATATAATTTATTGGTAAGTTAAGGCTTTCGGCACCATAGCAATTTTTTTTTATATTTAATTTTATAAAAAATTTATCAAGTAAACTAATTTTAACTATTATTTAAATTTTGTAAAGTGGGTTTTTCTGATTTTGATAATAGTAAATTCATTAAAATTGGTTAAAAACTCAGCAAGATATGAAGTTTTAAAAATTAGATATAAAATTTTAATATT